CTTTACAATCAACTTTCATACGATTTAATACAAATTTCACTAGTCGGTGCTTTCTCGAATAATAAAAGAGAGCAGAAAGTAAGGAAATTATTGCTTCCATCGTTACTCGCGCTATACGTAATTCAATAATTCCACCGGTATGTTTCGACGTAATATAAATTTCGTACTCGGTGCAAGAAACAAGAGCAACTGCTGCACAAGTGCTGTAAAAAATATTGGTTACACGAGGAGAAAGGTTACGAGTATAATCTGCTAAACAATGCGGACAGAAACGTATATTCTCGAGGAATAACGGCGGCGGGTATTTTGAAAGATACTTTATGCAGGTAGCGCAACGGCGAAGATTTTGAAACGTTTATTTTCACCGCAAATAACGGCAATCATTCAAAGCCATCTCGTTCCGAATAACATTCTAAAAGAAAATTATTTTTTATAGTCGCTATAAAGCCGTAAACCCGGTGTCTCAGGCTCGCTGAGGGCCGAGCTTATAAGTTATATTACTTAATTACCTTTATTCATTTTTGATGAACAATCGGAACTATTTGTCTGTCCGTTTAAACACTGCCACTGACATTTATTACTGTGGCTAACAGATGAAAAACTTTTCATAATCCATACCTACGTCATCTACCTCTCGCCAGGAATAGAATTTTATGCCTTCCTTCGCGCATGTTTACTCTTTATTCCAAACAAAAATCTGTGTTAGTAATAATTCAGATGACTTCTTCGAATAGGAAGACCTGCTAACAGAAGAGACCATGTCGTACTGAATAAGATGCAGATCGGACATTCTAGAATTACACAAGAACATTCTTCTGAAGAAAACATCCCCACCCTATTGCGATAAGTACCAACATCCCTTAACCATCTAACATATTTTATTTTTCTGTAAGGAATACGAGGCTTCACGAACCCATGCAAAGGTTCCTAACTCATTAAAAGAAATCTTCAGCAACATAGAAAACGCCAAAAGTACCCTCAGATTCGTTCGATGTAACAAACAATTGTGTGAATACGTCTAGTACCTACACCTAATGGTTCATGTCGCTAATGACCTTGTTGTCGATGCGACGATAACCACTTGCGCTATAAAGACGTGCCACGCACGTGGAGATGCTTTTGTTCCAAAGCCGCCAGCGACGTGTGTACCACGTCGATAGGCATTTGTCGCAGAAACAAAACCGACGTGTCCGTCACGTCGGCTAACAATTAGCTTGCAAACGCGGTGCGGCGTCGATATAACGCCTTACCGCATATTATATTGTAGAACACGGCACGGCAACCTAAAGTTAAATCGTAGCACAAATAGTTAAGCCCTTAATTAAAAAAAAAAAAAAGAAAATCTGTGTTCTTGTAAATTCAAGGGAACAAAAGCTGTTTTCGATTGCGACTGTGTTTTCTCCCATTTCTTTTGCTCTATTTGTTTTTTATTTTCATATTCTCGAATAGGCGTCCTGAAACACGAGATCGGCCATGGTATAAGCTCTAAAGTATCGTGGACATATATTTAGAGTGCGCGATTTTAGATTTCAATGCTCGAATCGGTGGGTGACTTTCGAATATAAACCTGTGGTACACTTCCAGGCGGTCATAAATCTAGCAAATTATTTGCTCGATGTTCTTATTGCAATTATATGAATTGCGTGAAACCGGGGTAATAAATCACGCGGAGAGAAATCCAGTTATCGTGACTAACACGTATCTTTACGACTTAATACGTATCTTTATGAAAACAAAAGGAAGTTAAGTTATTAATGCGCGATGATAAATTTTATTTTCGCAAAAACGCTGTGAGTTAATATTAAGATTGTTCTCTAAATAAATATCTATTTTCATATGTCAATGATTAATGCGTAATTAATCTTGAACCTACTTATCGTTAAATTTTTATTTTTTACTGCTTTCTTTCTGCTTGTTTCCTTTTAGATAGACTTTGTAAGCTTTGCAAATTAAATCATTCTCAAAATTTTATACCTTCTGCGAATATTATAAATAATATTACGATGAAGTTTTCAATAAAATTTTGTATGTTTTAGATCAACTACTAATAATAGTTGTTAATTATAGTCGCGATAAAATTTGGCCCATTAATTATGGCGGAAAGTGGTGGTAGTATTATTTATGAGATTTTACAAGTCATAAAAATAATTGGTAATTTTAAATATTCCGTTAAAAATTAATTATTGCTGAATTTTTGTATCTGTAATTATTAATTATAGCCGCGATAAAATTTGGCCCATTAATTATGGCTGAAAATGGTGGTAGTATTATTTACGAGGTTTTACAAGTTATAAAAATAATTGATAAATTTTAATATTCCGTTAAAAATAAAATATTACTAAATCTTTGTACCTATTTAAAATGTTGGCAAGATTTATTTAAGAGGTAGCTCTTTATGTACTACTGCAGTTATGAGAGCTTTATTAACGCGTGCGTTGAAAATGAAAAGCGAGATAAGGTAAGGTAACAAATATTTATGAAGTACGTTGCACCTTAATTGTATATTTTATGATTTATTATGCAAAGGTAACGTGTGAAGTGCAGAGATTTTAGTTACCCGTTAGTTCTCATGCTTCTTACTTAAAACTTTGGTAAAAGCCTAAAGTTCAGCTAATTATTATTCCCTCGTATATTATTCCGCAAGTTTTAAGACCTGTTTAAACTTCAAGTACTAAGAAAACAATCGTAACACGTTGGATTATCACTGTTAATTTATCAACTAAATTCTTATTTAACTCTTTATTAACGGTATTTGTTATTATACTTATGCAAATAAATTTATTAAACGAAAAGTTTGGTTTACTCAAGTATGATTCTCAGGCTGCCAGTTAATTTGACAATGTTATGTACTAATTTTTGCATAACTCGTAAAATATTTGTTAATAATAACTAGAAAAAAACATGAGTATTTTATTATTTCGATAAAGCTTTCTCTTCCAGTATTCAAAATATTTTACTGGAAGAAACGTGAATATTTTATTACTTCGAAGAAGTTTTCTCCTTTCAAGAATTCAAAATATTTTACTAGAAAAAACGTGAATATTTTATTATTTCGAAGAAGTTTTCTCCTTCAAGAATTCAAAATATTTTAGTAGTGTTCCAAAAATAATATTTCCTGTGTATTGTTAATAATTTCCTGTATTTTGAAATTGTCTCTAGAATTCTGACGAATAGAAACATAAAATATTTTTGTGCGATAATGCAGATTGCGAAGATAATTTTGAACAATGACATCCGTGATAGTGTAGTATTGCTTTTCAAAAACAACGTATGATGTGTTGTTCTGATAACAGTAACGTTCATAATAATGACTCGAATAATGACATTTTCGTTTACAGAATGAAAAGCTTGAGTTCAACTTACACGTGCAGAGATTGGAGTAAAGGTCAGATTTTGAAAAAATATAGAAAATGAGTGAAGGATTTAATGTTCCATTTATTATACCTACTTCAGAATTTTAAATTTATATTTAATAGACTTATTATAAGTTTTGAATAAAGGGACATTAAAATATTCATCGAAGAGGATCATCTTATTCCTCCATGAAGCTAAATGTTATAAAATTACAGTAAACCGTTACTATGACATGAGAATTCGTTATAGAATTTGAAACTTAACGCTTTTTTCGTAATTGAAAACTCTCGGAACTTAAATCAACGAATAAAAATAAATAATGAATCTTACCAGCGAGAATACGTGAAAAATTAATTGAAGTTACCGATCAACAGCTGCGCTGAAAAGGTGGAGCAAAAAGGATTAACCATAATATAGTACAATTACATTTAACCGATGTCATAGCTTGTTTCGTTACAATTTCACTGTCAATTGATTGCTACTCATTTTACAATTGAATTACCGTCCAACGTCTGATAATTCAAATATCGTTAAGTACAATGGAATACCAAAGTAAAGCAAACGGTGAAACGAATGAAATTGTAAAGATTGCACGAGTGTTCGGCATAATTGCGTGAAATAGTCGTTAGTATTAAGAGGAAAGATAATTAACTTGAATAGTCTTAGATACTGCAGTGTTTTCACGGATGCAGTTTTAAACGTTCCGTTATCGCCAAGAAACGTCCGAATTATTCGTCAATAGCAATGGGATGCAGGAGCTCTGATCTAACGAAGCAAAGATCCTCCTCGCGAGATGCTCAATTTACAGTCCTCCACTTATTGCGATAATAAGAACGGGCTCGATTAACACGTCCAAGAAAGCGATTCCATTTTACGAGACAATTTTCACAGAGCCATAGATAATAACCGTACCTCGTTCAATGAGAGAACCAGTGTTTCGATAAGTCGGATCTCTACAAAAAACTGTTCCAGTATAGTGCGTTCAAGGAAAGGAGGCACAGCGTGTTTACATCCTCACGGGTGATTAACTTCACTAACACTGCCATGATCACAGTCAGTGACCACTATTGGCCGACGATGATGACAAAGATCATTGGTCGTGAGGACGTAAACACGCTGTGTCTTCTTTTCCGGAACGCACAGTACCAAGTGCTGCTAATACTTCAGGTTCATCAGATTCGCTATAGAACCATCAATAAACTCGCCATAGTGATACCTTCTTAAGGATGTTCAGAAAGCAATCAACGTTATTTGAACAAAAGAACCGCCCTTCTTACCAGAATGGCGATGTAGCCTTTAAACGTGGAATGTCCACGCCCCTAGAACGCGCGTAGAAGTGTAGCAGCAGTCAAGGCTGACACGCATGAAAGATCGCGAAGCCATGACCCCAGGGGCTGGCAAATTTCCCATGCATGGATCGACCGCTTGACCAATGGGACCAAATATAGCACCGTCGAAGCACCCTTCTCATTGTCCGGTGACCTCCTAGAACCAATAAGGATTGGCGTAAATGCGTTGAATTTAAACTGCTACAGGCATCTGAAATGAGCTCCTTTCAAGACTAGGTTCGTGAACAGAGAAGGCAACCGGAAGGATGACTCGATGCTTCTGCGAGAAGATTGGCCCGACTAGAGCCGTCCACCTACGCGCGTCATGCCATCGACGTCCGCGAAGGGGGTAAGTCCCAGGGCCTTCTCTTGCCCGCAGGGGTCAGCCCCTTCTGTAGCGCCTTCATCTCCGCTAGCTAGCTCTCCCACAACGAACCCAGCGTAACCTACTTGCCCTGATTTCTGCTGCTGGGAAGGTCTCTTCCTTCGAAAGCACCCCTGCTGCGGGTTTGCCATCGCCAGCACCATGCCGAGACACTGAACAGTCGTCGAAGGTTGGAGTAACGCTCCTAAACTTCTTGTACCTAGCTTTTCTTACCCTGGTCCAGAGTCACGACCCGAATGGTCATCTCCAACTGTTGCTTCGTGTCAGACGCGTATGGGGCTCGGACATTGGATTCCTTCGACGATGGTCCCATCTAGCGAGACTCCAGAGTCGAGAGAACGTCTGGCGCCAGCCCACTGGATGTCCGTGCAATTGTCATCGTCGCCGACGTGATACCACAAGATGTCTAGTTACAGCCTCTGATTCTACACTATCCCGTTGGCTATGAACGTTTTACACCTGACTTACTTATTTATCGCTGTATGACTCTGAGGTTGGACCATGAATTATCTTTTGTGTTTCCTACTAGTAAGATGTGGTGAAAATTTGTTGAGTATCGAGGTATTCGCGATTCGAAAAAGTGTACTCCCAAGACTTGGAGAGATACATAGATGCAGCGAATAAATAGAATTCGATATTTCAATTAGAGCTCTGCTTTTTAAAAATTATATTTCCCAATTCTGATCTCAGAAAACGTTTTAATTCCCTTTGTAGGAACTCTCCTTATAACTATGAGTATGGTAAACGACCCAAAAAACACATCGCATAACAGTTTCTTCATACAGATTTGGATTACCTCTTATAGTGTACATGTCGATGTTCTTCGTCTGATGCTAATTGTAGCAACGTTCTAATCGCAGAGTTCCAAGCACGGACTACTCCATGGATCATCTTCTAGAACTGCACTTTCGGTATTGGATAGACGGTATTAGTTAGTTCATTAAAATTCTAGTCATCAGTATGTAGAGGTACTCGTACATTTTCTCACTATAGTAACATCTTCGCTAAATCTGGAAGAAAATTAGACGTTGAGTTGGAATGCATTGAAATCCACTCTCAATCCAATCCTATTTTTACTACTGTTAGTCACGACCCGAATTGGTGGTCCGTAGTGTGGCAAAAATAATGTCGGTCTACTTGCGAGTCCTCTGTAGAATATCGTCGCTAGCGTATAAAATCACGACTGAAGCATAAACATCAGCTCTTAGGAGCATCTCTACCAAATCATCTTTTGTGTAGTAACACTCAGCTAGGTTCAGCTCTTTTAGCTCTTCCTAGGTCGAACTGATCTTATCATCAAAATCCTTCGATCTCAACAATACCTAGACAGAAGAACATTTACAATATCACGTGTTATTCTCAGGTATACCAAATTAGCTCTCACGAGTGGGAAGCTGGCTGCCCTTTATTTTAGTCGCAGTCTTTGTACTAAAGATCCTAAGATCAGCGATACTGTTACCTGGGTTAATCAAAACGCGTGCTAATAGAGAGATGTTGTTTAAGTTCGCTGCCTTTACCACAACCATGACCAGGGGTGTGCTGGTGATTAGCAAGTTTGACCGTGAGGAACGCCGATGATTTGAAATTAGGAAAGCATCGTGTATAGAGGTGTAGATTGGCAGCACTTATAAAGATAAAACCTGGCATCGTCGATTTCAAAGACAGACACTAACATATGTCCACTTAAACAATCGAGGTAAGAGTTCTTAAGCTTGCAGGTACTCATAACGATTCTTTTGTTTGCATTTGCAACAAAAGAGTAGGAAATGGTTAGTATTGTATGTAGAATAATGTCTTGACGAGTTTCCTAACTAGGTCTTTAATACATTAGCTATAGAATTGGTCCATATAAGACTATGTGCTAGCACATATAAACACATGTAAGGCTATGTGCTAATTGGCCTTAGTTCTAGAACCCCTAAGATGTGAACACGAATCTCTAAATACTTTTACTTTAACACTAGAGCTACTCAAGTGATCAAAATGACATGTCCTAGATTTTTCATCTTTGCAATTGCTGAGAGTATACAGTTGCTTTTGTCAAAATCAATGTTGATTTTTGTATTTATGTATGCTCTTTTATTTTCGTTGTGCTGTTTTAATGATCAGCAACAATGTATATCATATTTAGGTACTCGTTACAGGTCGTTAGTTTTAGTGTTAGTGAGAAGGATCAACGACTATGTGGTAACGAAAGAGTTCCCCTTTCGTGATCCTTTGACCGTACTTAAGATACGAATATTATTATGTCAATAGATCCCTAAACATTTTTAATTTAAAAGACAAGGGTGAATTGCGTTGATCTTCTAAAGGGATGAAATTCAGTGCAAGCTGTTCGACTATGAGGAATCCAAGCCAATTCATTGCCTTCGCAGCCTCTTTAATAACCAGAGACGTCGTAAGACCTACGATCTCACAGGTATAAAGCACTTGTTTGAGATTTACAGCCGATTCAGATGTCGTCGTAAATGAGTTCATCTTAATATGGAACGAGGCATCCAATTAGTCGTGTATTTTCATAGCGTTCCTTTAATATCGCCCAGGGTCTCTTGAAGATTTTATCTCGATATGGTGGCGATCTACAAAATGACTTCAAAGGTGGACAAAGCCGACCAATGAGAGGAAGGTGCGAGGACGAGCATTGGGATCAGTCACAATAGGCGACATCGCAGGGTTCTCAGGTGTCTTCTTCCCAGGCAATTTCTCGAAAGGTAAAATCTTCGTCTCTCTTAGTCATAGAATTGTTCATTGTTGTCGAAGAGAAGCTTAAAATATGTGTGATCTAAATATTTGCGTTTTATAGTCCTGTGATCCGTCGCGTTTCTTTGAAGTAGGGTCCACGATCTTCTTCATTCTTCCAAATTTTTTTATCGGACTCGAAATATTAAAATTACTACTTAAAAGAGTAAAATACAATATGCAACAAAACAATAGCTAAAATAATAGCTTTAGATTGATGTATCTCGACAAAAAAAAATCGTTTAATTATAAATAAAATTTGATTTTACAGGGGAAGGTTAGTATTATACAAAGCAATTGATAAAGAGTTTGGAAAAAGATAACTATTTTTAAAACATTTTCGTAAAAATAGTAAGAATCGATACTTTTTATTTATTTATTTCATAAACCTAAGATGGTAAGCAGTCTTTACTTCCAGATTCGGATTCATGGCATAAAAACATATTAGAAGACTTTCCACTTTGAAAAAACAAAATCTCGTTGATCTGTTTTTTGTTTGGTACTTGTGTTATAATTTTATTGCGGTCATTTTTCACACAAAGAAGTAAAATTTGTAGAAAGAAATGTAAACTATAGTTAATATTCTTCCGTATTATTAAGAACCAGACACAGTATGCGATTACATATGTAACGTATGCATACATCGAATTAGTTTCAAGAAACATTGAATACTACTGGTTGTGTTATTATTTTATCGCATAAAAATATTGGTATCCCAATTGACTTGTTATTCTTAACGAACGATTGTTTTCTTTTTACGTTACAATTTTCAAATTCTAATCAATGAAAATATGTATTAAGTCTCCTCTCAGTTGATGCGAAGATCATTGCAAAATAAAATTTGCATGTAACGTAAACAGGAATTAAAATAAATCGTCCCAGAGTTAGCCATAAAAATTTTACACGTGTAGAAATCAAAATATTTACCAACCTAGTCTATCTCAACGTTCGGCTTCGTTCGATATAACATAAATTCTCATTGAGAAGGATCTTCAAACTCGTCCTGTAAGACATTAATCGTTTGAAGTAGATTACACATGGATTACGAATATGTCCGTAACTTACTATATTTATATCCGTCAATCAAGGAGAAATGAACGAAATGTTCGTAAATTTTTAATAAGGAGAAAACTTGTGGTCACCTGTCTGCTTCTGAAGACGATCCAATTAGTGACCGCTAATTAGACCACAGCATAGACAGATGCCTCTATGACACTCATCATCCAAACGATCAGATGAACACTAATGTTTCTATGAAAAATCTTTGCGCATTATTTTTAATGTAAATTTATAATAAGATAAGAAAGGAAATATTTTATTCGTTTGTAAATAAGAAATATAATACTTAACCTAACCCAAACCTAACCTAACCTAGCACATTTGTTGTAAGGGTGGGCCAATCGCATGAAAGCCAATTACGAACAACGTTTAAGATAAAATTTTGAAAACGTATATTGTTATAATAATTTGTACGCCTATACGAGTTCAAATATGTGGAAATTAATTTTGTATACAAATTTTTTTCCGAAAAAATTATTGCAGCGTCATGCTCTCGTTTCTTTAGTATATATATTGGTATCGAAGCAAATGTATCGGTATCCACCTACTGTAAGTACATATACGAATACATTATAGATTTATCATAAACGAATTGTTAGTTTACATCACGAAATTATAAAAGTTATAACAACGAAATTTTTTTAAATGATAAACCTAACATTCGATGATATTTTTTTAACAGGTTGAATTTAAGTTTCATATGCGTATTTGAGAAATGCGTATGCTCATATTTTACACGGACAGCAATTGATATATTGTTATTAGCGATTTATTTATTCTAGTCGTTAAAGTAATGTATGTAGTACTTAAGATAGTAAATCTACGTCTTAGACTTCCCGCATTTCCCATTATATAAATGGGTCCATAAACAATAATACTTTCGAATACTTTCATCCTTGGTATTTGTAGTGAACTGCCTAACGTTACGTGTGGCACAATATTTTAAATTAATTTTTTAAATCACTTAACAAATAATAATAATATTCGTATTATAATATAATTACTTGTCACGTGATCATGTATGTTTAAGATTTGCTAGTCCGTTGATTAACGAAACAAATAACAAATAAATAAATAAATTACGTTATTATTATTTTCTACAAAATAATATTAACCGTACTTTATTTATTTTTAAGAAAAACACATTATTGTAGGAAGAAGTCGGCCAATTTTTGTCGATCGGTTTGAAAACAGACATGAGCATTAAAGGATTAAATACCAGCCTTATCACTACCGAAGAACGCTGAAACTTTAATAGAGAACCATGCGTATAAAAGCCAATAAATATATTACGCTCATTACCACCGAATGGTTGAAAAATATTTTCATTCCGCGCATAAATTGTAATATACGTCGAGTGGAAAAGCTGTTATCCGAATGCCTGCTTCTCGTCAAGCAATACGATATGTTGCTAAAAACATTCGTTTCGTGCAAAACGTGTTCCCCGTAATCCGTTTAATAGTTAATGAATTGAAAATTCCCGACATCGGTATAAGCGACGTTTACAGGGATCTTAAGGTAAGTAGGGAGATAACAGGGAAATGTAGATTTCGTTAGCAGTAAAAGGCGGGAGTGGAAGGGTAGTAAAAAGAGGAGGGGAGCGGAGGAGAATGGCGGCGACGGGGTAGGTGGAAGTAGAAGTCGTGGGGGCACCTTGCGCAAGTTGACACGTCGTTGGTCGGGTCGCTCGCAGCCAGCAAAAGTGTCGGCGGAGCGCGAACCGACAACGACCACCGTGTCGCGAACGCCACCGCTGCCGCCGCCACCAACGCCACCATCGTCACCATCGCCACCGCCGCCGCTACCGCCAACTCCACGTCACCTTCGTCTCTTTCGTTCGCATTGGTTCGCCGCGCCGTTCTTCCTATTCTCTCTGTCCTTGTCGCTGTCCTACCGATACCTCTCACCAGGCTGGGTAAACCTCTCCGATCCTCTGGCTAGCGATGGCTCCGAGTTTAATCCTACGACCAATTTTTTATTGCAAATCTACTATGTCTGCGCTTCTGTTTCCCCATCCTTCTGCTACTCCTTCCTCGTTTATCGCTCGCGTTTACGCGCCGGGATAAATTTCTTTATTCGTTACTCGGGGCAGTTGATCCTTGCCTTAAGTCAATCTTATTTTTCGTGCCGTGGAAATTTATTTTTGCTTTTTTGAACCTTGGAATCGGCTTTGTAATTTGGGTAGTAATTGTTTGCCATTTATTAATGAAATTTTTGTGGTCGCCCAAAGTGTTATCGTTTTGTATCGTATTTTCAGTGGTAAAATATATTTGAGATTACGAATAAATTCTTTTCGAAATGTCTTCTACGTTTCTGGATATTTGCAAGAAAATGCAAGAAAGTATGTGCGCAATTCTTTAAAAAAAATATCAATTATATGATTTACCTATGTCTACCATATGGACATATATAAATATGTAATACATGACAGAGTTGTCCGTTATTTTTAAATATATGTGATAACATGTGTCAATAAATAAAATGTTACATTTAGATTTATAATATTGTAGAGCAATATTTCGGACGCAATGAATATATTTTAAATTTCGCCCTGAATTGTGCATTTTCGCAATAAATATCATTTCTCGATATAAATGACAAATATGCAAAAGCATACGATAAGCATATTTGTTACATGAATATTGCAGTAGAAGACGAGAAGGTGATTTAAATAACAATTTAATACTGTTTCAGTAAATGAAGCTCTCCGCGTATTTTACGCAAATTTATGCAATAATCGTAAAGTGTACATCTTTTTCGCGATATTAATGGATTAATTATTAATACTGTGAATACACCGATCAACGTAATGTTTATAAATACATAGAATGAATGGTAACTAAATTTTAAATTTGAATAAAACGAAAATTAATTCATCTTTTCTTTTTAGATTTTAAAATAGGAATATATTTTTTACTTCATACATGACTATATATCAAGAAATTACATTATAAATATAACATTACGTACTAATAAGAAATTATAGCCTCTTTATACGTTTTATTTATAGCTTATACATAAAATTTTCGTGCTTACACAAAAAATACACATTGTGTTTCCAAAAAACTGTATAAATTTCAAAATATTATCCTGAATAATTTTTTATTAGTTTTAATTTATTATACTTGGGAGACGTGATTTAAACATTTTAGAAATAGCATCTGAAATTTTAAATCTTGCGTGGAGAAACATATATCGAAATAAATATTTAAACAACGGAATAAAATCTGTAAATTCTCTTGGAACGAAAAAGAATTCTACATAAAAAAAAAAAAATGAAAAATAAAAAAGTAGCGATTATATGTGGAAAATACGTTCGTTATAGAGAAAGAAAGATCAAAAATATTTTAATAGAAAATAGAAAGTTAATATATAATTTTAGCGTTATTTTGAACATTCTGAAACTTCGTTAAACACTTAATTATAGCTATTATGAAAATAAATGGAGTGTAATTTGTGGAATGACTTTATTACGTAGCAATAATTACGTATGATTCGTTAAATGTGACATCATGTAATATATAGGTCCTTCTAATCACTGCAATAAGGTCAGATCTATTTTCGATATTAATAATATCGAAACGATTACATTATATCTTTATATAACGATATTACGTAATAATATTAAAATGATAATATTTAAAAATGAAATATGAACGTTACGCAATGCGAAGTAAAAATAAAGGTGAAACTAGATTTGCACTTTCTAATTGATCGATAAAACAGAGCAAATTGAAATGTACCATATAGGTCGTTAAGGATAGAATAGATATGCATATGGATATGGAAAAATTGATCGAAATGAGTTTTTTTCATGAGAGAGCGTTACTTTCATCGCTAGAAAATCTGAAAGGGTCGATGGTGGGGGAAACTAGGATGTACCGACAGAGCGGCGAAGGGGTAAGCTTTCCCGGGGGAACATGGTGTGGCGGGGTAAGTCAGCTGAACGGTCATCGATAGAGAGCGGTGGTGGGGGAAATGGGGAGGCTCGGTCGAGGGAACAGTAAGCGATGCGACTCAGTCGCGATTCGAAGCCGGTCGTGGTAAGCAAATGTTGTGTATCGTGTACCGTGTAACGTGCACCTCCTTTATTTCGTTTTCCTCGATATCTTTGTGTGTTGTGCCTCTTATACGTTAAAGAAGAGTTGTGTTTACTGGCTGGAATATGCCGCGTTAGAAGCCAAATGGCTTCATTTACGTGCACTTTCATTGTTTCGCCTCGACGGATATAAGGAAGAGTACGACAGTGTTTCCACGGATTCGAGCTTTCCTTCTTTCGTTGCTCCGTTCGTTGTCAGTCCTCCGTGGACTGTCGCGAGTGATCACAGTGTTATTCGTTACAAGGAGAATAGTTGTGGACAGAAAGAGGGCGAACATTTTTTAAGATGCTGACTTCCAGCGCGAATCAGTATCTCCGTCCGGAATACCTTACGCCTCTACCTACTACGGTTAGTGTCGTGTTTCTGTTTCTATTCTCCATTTTTTTTTTCGCCTCGACTACGCGATACAGTGACGGTTTAGTGTGTCCAAAATATAAACAGTTTCGTACGCGTCGGAAAAACTATATTAAACTTCGCCGTAACTGTGCACACCATACCAACTGTATGACATGCGGATTAAATTCGAGTTTAATTTATCTTCTACTATTACTCCGAAACTCTTTCGAAATTGTTGCAAAATTTTTACGCGAAAATACGTTCGGAAGTAATCTCAAATGTTCAATGAATACTACGCGAATAATAAAATTGTCCAATTCATACGATATTTTGTTAAAGTTTATCACTGATAAAATATAGATAGCTGGAAAACGATTGTTCAAATTTCCCAAGTATAAATAGTATATAAAGAGATTAATAAGGTATATTAAAAACGCGAGCAAATCGTAAAATGCGACGAAGTAGCAGCAACGTTAGAGTAATCGTCAAAGTGTCGCAATTAAATCGATATAAAATGCATACCGCGAAGGACAATAATTTCGACACTTCGTTAATTCTCGTTGTCGGTCTTTCGTTAATCGCGACGGGAATGCACTTCACGTCTTACGCTTTAACTCCTGTAAACTATTTTGAGGACAGCGAGTGCTGGCAAAGTTTCTGCTTGAACGTTCACTGATTTACGACGCTCGTAAATCAAAACACGATTCGGTAATACAATGCTGCGAGGATAGGTACGAGAGAGCGTGTACGTGCTAAAAATGAACGAAAACTCGATTCCTTCTCCTTCGTTCCTCCTCTCCTTCTATTTTTTCTTCACGCGTGTTACAAAGCTGCCTACTTTTTACGCCGTAAACGCGCACTTAACGGTAATAATTTGGGCCCTTGAATCTCTTGCACGCTTCTTATTCGCGTGCTTCCTTCTCGTCTTTTCTTGTAATTTTTCGTCATTTTTAACCGTTTCTTTTGAATTTAAAAAAAATTTTTTTAATTATTTCTTCCATTTCCTTTGTTTCCTTACTTCGCGTTGGCGACTTCGGTTGGCAACGCGTGACGTCGTTCTCCACGAGTTTTCGAAGAAATTCCGTCGCAGGTCCGTTTTAGGTGCACTCTCTCGAGTGCATGGCAAAGAGCATGCGTATTATGTTTCAATTGGTATCACGGGTAAAAAGCAACAAGTAATTGGCACTACGGCGCTGCCCGGATAAGCGATGGCGAAATGGGCCCGTTCAGCAGCGTTTAAGCGGGGCGCGGTGGCGCATTTTTATGAAACTGCCTGCGACGGAAAGAGTAATCGGTGTCGCGGATTGCGAACGGGACAAAGCGGTAACAATGCGACGTTCGGGATTCTGCATGACAGGCCGGTGACAGAGGAGGACGATAATTTTGGCCGCCCGATGAAACTTCTATCAAGAGCAACTGACAGTTTTATATCTTTCATTAGATCGTCGCTTTTATTTTTTATTAGCTAGTCGATTCTTCACGTTCTCTTGGCGAAGATAAATGCGAATAAATCTTTATTCCGGGGTAACCTAAATTATCGCGCGATTCAACTGCACCGCGATTTTAAATCATAAGAAATTACGCAATAATTGCACTATTATTACATAAGTATAAAATGAACAGAAAAGAGGAAGAAAATAGGAAAATTTGTTTGAAATATTATTCACTTTGTTATAAAAGTTCAAAAAACGAGAAGAAAATAGGTACATTTGAAAATTTGTTTCGGTTATTTATATTATGAAATCGCAGAATGAAGTAAAAATTAAACGTGAATGGTATTTTGGAAGCTTCGTTCGAGACGTTCGATAATTATTTATTTCGTTGCAAAAGTACAGGATATGAAGGAAATAGGAAAGATTCTGGAAAGTTTGTTTGAAATATCGTTTGGGCTGGTTCTCATCGGAGGAGGCTTAAACGCAGTTCTTCGTTAATGAAATAAGATCCAACGGGACGTATAAAAATTCAAATTTCTATTATTGGATGATTCAACGGGCGTGTGAGATAATTGCCTGCATTTTGTCAGCGACCTGCAGCGCGAGCTCTGTCCGTCGCTTCTTATTGTACGCGTTAATGCGCCAGTAAAAGGCACCAGTAAAAGGCACTAGGAAAAAGCACTAGTAATAAGACGAACGCTGCACGTAACTTCAACCGGGAAAATATGCAACTATTTATCCAGCCAGCTCTGTATTATTAAACATTTCTGTATACTAACGTGGCACTTCGTTAGGATTTAGGTTAAGTGTCCTTATCACGGCCAAGAGTTGCTTTTAGACGGAGCCTAGGTACACCGGCAGCCATTGTTCTTTGATTTTTTAGTTAATAATTTATACATTGCCTGAAACTTCGAAATTTATTTGACGAAGTCGCGTAATACTGTGTAATATATAACAACACGATTTATAAATAAAATAATATTATGGGAAAACGTGAGAAGAACCAGCGAGTCTTATTGAAGATTTTTTGCAAAATATTTTGGGCTATAAATTGGTTTAGTGTTTTGAAGACTTCGCATATATGTTTCTATACTACGAAGAAATTTTATTAGTTAGTAAACCGTCTGATTTAATGGATATTTCATAAACGATGATGTTAAATGAATAATATTTCACCTCCGTAGATAACCATAATATTTTTTTTCTTTTTTTTTCGTACTGTGGATATTTAACGACAATTTTGCTCTCGAATGCTTGCCATATACAGGGAAAGCAATGTACTACGTAAATCATAAATTTCCGTATGAACTGCAGATCGAGGTAAATTTATTCAAGGAATGAGATTTTCGATATTAAATGAAAAACTGAAGCCAAGAATTATACAAATAGGTAGGGGATTAAAGTTCTGGTATGAAAATAAATTGGTATATTTGTTCCCCTCTTTATCTGCACAGAAATAGAACAATAATTTCGTCAAAACTAGCTAGATATTCTCAATTCAATTCTAAAAAGTATTGTCCAAATCTAATGAAATTTCTAGTTTCACTTATACCGTTAAAACACGATTATCGTGTAACAAAATTTAAAAAAGAAAGGTACTTTTGTAGAAAATGTAAAATACTTTTAAATTCAGTCTTGACTATTGCAATTTTATTTTCAACTTTAAAATTTTATTTTCGCTTTAAAAGTAAACATCAATTTTGCCAAAATTAGCTGCACGTGTGCAATTGAACTCCGGAAGCAAAATGTCTGAAACCAATCGCTTTTTCTAGTTCGACGCCTCTGCTGCTATTGAAACATAAATTTCTCGCGTAACGCGATATTGAGAACAGCGATTTCACTGAAAATCGTTATAGAAAATATTTCGAATTCGATCAAGACGGCTAAAATTCAATTTCAAAAATAAATAATCGCAAAAGGTAGGAAGGTGATAAAATTATCGCGTAAGGTAATTTTGAAGGAACTACGAATGATCGAAAACGTCATACGTTTTTAAATTGAATCGTGGCTATCCATTGAACGTAAGTGGAAGGGCGTAAATTAAAATGATTAATTAAGTGTAAAGGGAATAACGTAGGAAGAAAATTGTTAAAGTAGGTTGTTCCTTTGGATGAATAATAAGCGAACGTTGACGATGAAAATGCTACGATCGGGTGTTCCGTTAACTTGTCCGAGAGCAATTAACATATAGCTTTAACCGTAATGCCGTAATAGCCTGTTGCAATTCATGTCATTAATATCTGTCGGCATCGCACCATTAGCAGAAGCAACCGTAAACGGCGGGTTAGTTGTATGAACGTTGCATTTTAATTACGGTGAACATCTGTTCGATGGACGTATCAACCGCGAGAAATATCGTTCCTCTATACGCTAATTATACCAACTGCATCATCCTAGCTACTTCCAAGCGAGTGCGATGCCGGCGCCAATATTAAATTCTCGCACTCGTTCTCCCACTAATCGCGTCTACGCCGGGCAACTACTTATTAATTGGCCACGATCCTACGGTAAACACCCATTTTAATTCTCCACAATTTTAACAGCCCGATCTCTCAGAATGAAACAACCGCCACTCTCAACCACGTATAATTGATGCTTGGAATTTTTCCCGATATTCCACGAATTAAAGTCACGCTAATTAACACTACACCTACCGCGGTCTAAATGGCCGTTTTACCAATTTTTAGGAAAAATTCCCCGTTCGACGTTATCGTTTTGCTCGCTCCACTTCGCGATTTTTCCTTTGATGCGAGTGGAATTTTATGTAATTAACATTACACGTTTTAAGTGATCGTTTTCCGAATTTTTATTAAAAATACTGCATTGCAGATTGTCATTTCGGGAATATATAATTTCGCGATTTTTTCTCTAAAACAAATACAGACTGTTATAAAATTAACATTGCACCTATCATGGTCTAAATGACCGTTTTTTAAATTTTTGTTAAAAATTCAGAGCATTCAGAGCGTTACCGCTTTGGACACTTCATTTCGTGACTTTTCCACTAGAATAAATACAGAGTATTATAAAATTAACATTACGTTTTTCGAATTTTTGATAAATATTCAGCATTCGACGTTACGGTTTTGGGCTCTTGATTTCGTGATTTTTCCTTGGAAATAAATACAGAGTGTTATATAATTAACAGAACACTTATCACGTTCTGAATTACTGTTTCTTAAGTTTTTGTTAAAAATTCGGCATTCGACGTTTTCGTTTCGCGATTCTTTCTCTGATATAAATACGATCGTTTTTGAACTGGAAACAGTGGAACATTTTGTAAGAGATTAAACTAAGTGTCAAGAGAAATTTCAAAGTCAAATTCATTTGTTTAATCTCGTAACGCACGGTCTTTTTGTTATAATCCATATTCCGTAGATATTGTAATGTTTGCTATAATACGCATGAATTATTTCGAATAAAATAGGGAATGTAATATAAATGAACAAATTTTTCCGTGTAAAATATTAAAATTTGTTCTTATTTTTCACTTAACTCACAGTAGTTAATAAAACTATATGTATATAAATATATTTTTTTCATGGTATGATAGTATTTGCAAAGTAATTATTATTCTTAAAAAATAAAATAAAAGAATCACTAGGTACCTATTTATCTTGCTTCATTTATATTCTAAATTATTCTTCGCGTTGTTATCTACAATAACATCCTCATAATGCCAAACCTTGCAGGTAATATCGTAAATACAAGGGAGACATAATCGTAGAAGCGTTACATGGTAATTTAAGATGCCTAGAAATAAATAAGAAATTTGAATAAGTATCAACTGCCGATCCGCGTTTATGCTATATCTCGAATATAATAATTATTTTGTTTTAATTAAATGGTCTTATATGTTGCAAGAAGAATATATGTATATGTTTTAATTAAACGAATTTGACTTTGAAATTTCCATTATCACTTGAGATACAAACAGTGTCCCTCTTCACACCAAACAACTTTTGTTCAAACATTTTTATAATAAGTTCCATTTCGTATAAAAGATATTTCATAATATGAGCCGTTCACTGCACAAATCGATTAATTCCACTTTTTGAAAAATCTGAAATTTAAGTGTCAAAGCACTTGGTATAGTCGTGACTTTTTATATTTATAATAACTTTCCTTGGTAATTAAGATTAACACCATTGAAAGACAAAAATTTTTTGGCCGCTGAATAATAAATAATTTATTTCAGAGGTCACTTTGATTAACTCCGTACTCTAATGTAAATCGTTGCAATAATGCAATTCGAATGCACTAGCAAGCCATGAACGATAACGGTGAATTTTTTAGTGCCATCTTATCAGAATTTAAGTAAAATTTAGTAAAATTTAAATTTTTACTTTTTCACTTGCCAAATCGATTAACTCTTTCAGTAACGTAAAAATGGTAACATTACCAACGATTACCTTTTGGCTATTTTTTCTTATAAATTTTATATATCGTTAGATGAAAGTTACATTTGTATTTATGCATTCTACGATATTTATTTCGATTTAAATTATAAAGGGAATTTTAAAAAACAATATACATTATTTCATTGCATTTCTCCACTTTTTGTTTTACGGAGTTAATCAATTTTTGCAGTGAATGACTCATATAATTGAAGGAAATACCCTGTATAATCCGCTGTTCGATATCTCTTCTTATTCCGTTTCCTTCGAAGAAAACTTTTCTTACGTGTGTTTTATTATTCGTCGAGGTAAGAAGATATTTTGAAATCTTTAAACAGGATACACGCATTTAATCTCTTGGTTTATGATCTTCTTAGAAGCTACTCGACTGAACTATTTGCTGTTATAAAACCGTCTTATAATATTCGTATACTTGAATGATTTTTACTTGGAACTACCTATCTGTAATACGTGTCTATTAAAGACACAGGTAAGAAAAGTAAATAGATATACGTAACTGTACTCTTATCTCGATAAAAGTCAATAGTAATTCTAGGAAAAATCGTATATTTTCACTGATTATAAAAAGAAAGAATCAGAAACCCACCATTTTGATGGATTTGACAGTTTTAGTGTTAATCCCTTGCAGTGTATTGACGAGTTTAGCTTGTCACAAGCTTCTCATGTCAAACTATACAAAGACAAGCCAGATATAAATAAAACTATATTTAACGCGCCTTAACGTGACAAAAATTCGTATAAATTCTAGAAATTTTCATATTTTTATTCTGAAGGAAATGTATACATAGCCACCACGTAAAATTAAATGCCTTTTTAATTTTTAGAATTAAATCATAGTGCGAGAGGTTAATCTTCCATATAACGAATAAAAATTGAAATCGAATTTTATACTAACCTTTCTGATAAACTTTCGGTTTAATCGTTACAATTTTACGTGATTCCAAATATCGGATTGTATATTATTTATTTTAAAATGCGGATGTGTTAGAGGTAGATGGTAGGCAGGTGATATAAAAGTACAAAGAATATAAAATGATACTGTAGAAGTTGGCAGTGAAAAAAAAATTAAATTCGATAACGCGAGAAAATTAAATTTCACAGTGTAATATTAGATAGTGGAAAAAGTCACGACGTGATTAAATGACACTATAAAAAGTCATCTCAAAATTCATTCGCCTGATGGTTACCAAACTAACGTTACTCCTTGAGTAACTTGTCATTAACCCTTTGCACTCGAGAGGCGACTCTCAGTCGCCATTTAATCAAATTCTAAAGATCGATGTTAATTAATATATCAAACTTAAAATTACCCAACGATGCGTAGAATGTCGAAATAAAATAATTTTACGCATTAATTTGCATACGATTTCTTATTTACCGTTTTAAAAATATCGTCGACCTTATGGCAGAAAGTCTTGGAATTACTATTTTTCTGAAACGAAAAAATCACCGAGAGCAAAGGGTTAATTTAATTAAATAAATTATACAGAGTTAAAAATTAATAATAGAATAAGAAATAGTAGAATTAAAAGGGGTATCATATACGCTGTTCCATTCAATAATTTTGTTATTTGAATCGAATTACATATATTTCTCTAATTGATATTGACTAAAATAAATAATATTAAATGAACAACGTGAAGAGATTATATCATAATTAAAATATTTGCGTAACGATGTTCGCTTATAAAATTTTGGCAAAGTGATATTCGCTTAAATTAATTTGATGTCACATCATTGTACATATATTTGTTACATACATTGTTGAACACGAGATAAATCAGAATCGTTATGAAACATGCTATTACTTGCTTAATTGTCGTTGGCACTTACCTCGAGTAACAGTTGCTGCTTACTCGCCTATATAGCATCTTCGAAACTGTGTCGAGGAATAAAACAATAGTAAAATTTAACACTTAAACGCGTTGCACCAGTTTAAGGAAACAGCAAGGCAAACTTGGCGACATTTAAATCGAATTTAAATTCAAAAGGTCGATAATAATTCAACACCAAAAAGTAAATTATGACATTCCTCTAGAGAGATTTAAAAGTTTTTTAGTGAAAAATGTAAAAATATATAAGGAAACCCGCGCTTTTGATGTATTTTTCTTTAATTTACAGAGTAATAAAATGATCTGTGCCAGTTGGGTTATTCGTTCCTAGATATCGTAATCATCGGTCGTTATATTTTATCAGTCGTAAAACTACGTGAACACGACGTGAATCCATAACAGTATATTTCAAGCTAGAAGGAAGAAAGCTTTAAATATCGATTACGTTTAATGAAACGAAACAGGAATATTTAAGTATATTCCTCGGTGGTAATACCAGTGAGTCGAACACGTTCCATTTTTATACAACTGAAAATGATAGGCAAAATGCACCACGATTGCGATAAAAATTCCACTCGGACTAACGGAATTGGCATAATTCGCTTATAAGAAATATTGATTTAACCGGTAAAATTAAGGAAAGAATTGACGAGGTTATCATCGCGTTAGGTTATCGGGAAAAACGGTAAAAGGGAGAAATGGTAGGATGATTATTGACACGTTTGTTTTATTTGCAGTTGGATGCGAAGAAGAGCCCGCTCGCACTCCTCGCGCAGACTTGTAGCCAAATAGGAGCCGACACGCCGTCCAATAAATCTCTGTTGGGCTCGTTGGACAAAGGTTCGAGCAACAAATCGTCCAAGTCCGCGGATCAGTCGCGTGAAAAATCGTCGCCGGCAATCGTGGCGGCCTCGACGGAATCGAACAAGACCAACTTCAAGCCGTACGAGTCGTGTTTGGGTCGTGAGAAAGCATCGAGTCCGGACGAGCAGCGATCCGCCTCTAGTCACTCGACGTCCGGCCGATCGAGGACACCCGGTAGCAACAACAAACGATGCCCGAGTAATCAGAGCGCCTCGTCTGTTAGAGCGGTGACACCACAGGGCCGAAAAACTGCTACACCGAACGGCGACATAGCTCGAGAGTCACCCGCCTCGAGGACATCGGTCGCGAATCTTTCGTCGAGCCAACTAGAGTCGTCGAGCTCGTCGCAGCCAGTCGTCGTCACCAGTCCGTCGTTACAAGCGAAACCCTCTTACAGCCCAGCCGGAGTTCTAGCGATGACGGATCCGTCCATCAAGGATCTTCCGTTGGGAACTTTCAAGCCGGGCGTCAGTCTAGCCTCGTCGAGCTCCGGTTATTTAGGTTACAGTCCACAATTACCCATCGACGTGACGGCCAATTCTTTGATGTCTCACCAGCAGGCCGCGTTGAAGAACGGCCTGGTAGCCGGTAATCCCTATCTCAGTTACGCCAGGTTGAAGAGTTCCTCGGATGCTCTGATGCCGGTCTGCAGGGACCCCTATTGCACCGGTTGCCAGTTGAACTCTCATCTGCTTGCCAGCTCCGCGAGTGCAGTGGTGGCGAACGGGAAGTTAGCCGGTAACACGGCCGGTGCAACGGGTTCCTGTCCCGCTGGGTGTGCTCAGTGCGATCACAAGCCCAGTACGGCGGCTTACGGAGCGTTGGGTGTAGCCGCGTACGCACATGCACAGCTAGCTGCTTTGGCAGCGGCCTCGCAACTTCCGTACGTTTGCAACTGGATCGCCGGCGACACCGCTTACTGCGGCAAAAGGTTCTCCACGTCGGACGAATTGCTGCAACATCTGAGGAGTCACACGAGCGTGTCGAGCGGCAGCGGAGTTACGGATCCTTCGGCGGCCGCGTTGTCGCTGCTGTCGCCCTCCGTCGGACTACCGCCAACGCATCCTTTGTTCTCCAGGACTTATCCCACGCCACCTTTGAGCCCGCTCGCAACCGCGCGTTATCACCCTTACGGCAAACCTTCGCCGTTGTTGCCACCGTCTTTATCGTCGTTGGGTTTACCGCTCCCACCGCCGCACCCTCACACACCAGCTGGATTACCCCCGTACTTCTCCCCGTACTCGCTCTACGGAGCTCCTCGCCTTGGCGCTGCGTCCGGCTTGCCTCAATGAGTTCTTCGCCACGAACATTGCCGACCAGACGTGTCGAAAAATATCAACCGTTTAACTGTGATCCACGTGCGAGTATAGGGAAGTGTTTGATACGTAGATACGTGAGAAACCGAAGATACGGAATCCGAACAAGCAAGTCAACCTCGTTAAAGTAACCTCGCAATTGCGTTCAACGAACGAATTAGTTTCGCTTCATCTCATCGTCGCGATATCGTCGTTGACGCCATTTTCCTTTCTTCTTTTTTACCTGTCTCCCTCTTTCTCTCTCTTCCTCTCCTTCTCTTTCTCTCTATCTCGTTTCTTCGTTGTTTTATCCCTCTCCAACCCGTTACGGTACGGACATAATTTATTTAAGTTTGTCACCAAGAAGTAATAATAGGCTGCGAGAGTGTTGCGACGTGGACGATTATCCGATTCGTTTCTCGTAACGTCCGTGTCGTGGTTGATTTCATGAGCTCCTGCTAGTTTACCTTTACACTTGTCGAGTCTTCGGTAGGAAGTGCTAAAAGGATTGCAATTATTATAGTGTACCAATCGTTTAACTGTGATTCTTGTGCAAGAATAACGGAGCGTGCAGTGAAGGGGAGCAAATCTGAAAATAACGTGTGCCTGAATGAACCCACTTAATGGCTGCTGGTATAATTATTAACCGTCGACAGTGTGTTTAACGAGCTGCTGTTGTATCGCGATGCGTTACGATGTTCCCCGGTGCTTCATCTTAATATCACGTCTGCGTATTATGCCGTTCTGTTCGCATCGCGATCCAAATTTCCCCACGCTCAAACCCCTCTGTCTCGTAATTTTTCCACGACGACTCGTTCGAGCGCTCGCGTGTGCACGCGCCTTTCCGTTCTACTCTAATTTTCCTTCCATTTCACGCTGTCGATGAATTTTCGTTCTCCACGGTACGATGATTATGAATTCCCGATTAAAAATCATTTCGCGACAGATATCGAATCGAGAATATTTAGCTCTCCCGTACTGGCCCGTTCGCTGCGCCCGACGTGCCACTTCATTTCGAAAAAATAAAACAAACGAGTGCCACGGGTAACGTCGAAAAACCAATGTTCAACTGTGATTTCCGAGTGAGAAAGCTACCATGTTGCATGAGTGAGATACGCCGCGCTTCCGCTACAGATACATGTGTATGCGTGATTATAGAGTTTATCGACATGACATACGCGATCACGGATCTTTAATTCCAACTGGCGATTAATGCACGATTATTTCGTTAACCCTAGAACGCAAACGCTTTCCACCTTTCTTGGTACAGTCACCGCTGACGATGTTTCCATTGGTTTTTATCGATCATGTCAACGAGAGATCATATGCTTTTAGAATGAACGATAATATGGGGTTGAATTATATCCTGAAATACGTATTTATTTGACTGTCATCGCGGTCAGCGTGTCGATTATCTTACGAGGCATAACCACTTGCACTGGAAAGACGTGTCACGCACGTTGTCGTGCTTTTGTCGCAGAATCGCTAACGACGTGGTGTACACGTCGTCAGGCAATTGTCACAGAAACACTGGACCCTTCTGGCACACGCATCTGTGAATTTCTTGCCAGCGCAAGTGGTTAAACGTAAAGATCAGTGATGGCCATCGGTGGCCGCCATTACGGTGAACGTGTTAGATGCAAACGTTCGTGAGATTTACGACTTTGCTAGGATCTTTGTTCCTCTTTTATGGTATTACGCGTTTTATCGTTAATGTTATTCGATTATTAATCCACAATGAAACGTATTATGGAAAATAGTTAGTACACATCAACGCGAATAGAGAATTATAACCTTAATGACCTTACTGATTTTAAATCTTTGATACCGTAGATTTATGAACCACAATCGTTTGATAGGTTTAGCGTTAATGCTTCGTGTGATACAAAATTCTCTTTTATACATCGCGTGCCTCAAAATTCACGCAGGATTTCAATTTTGCGCCACTTGTGCGGTAAAGTGTTGCCAACGATAAAAAGGACAGCGTGACAGTTGACAATTCAGCTGTATTAAAAATGGAGCGGACGCGAAAGGACAACGGGTCTTCATTCTTGAGCAATATTCACAATTTTTAATTAAAAATCTGTGTTTTCTGCCAACATTACTTGCGTGAATTTTGAGGCACGTATATACGCAAAGAATAACTGTTATTCTTCACTTTCTTTTTCATTTATATCAGAATACTATTCTTTTTTCTTTGGCATATTAAATCAAGTGGTCTGTTCTTAATCTGCTTTGCAAATTTAAGAATTGATTTAATTATAGCATGATTCACGAACATATTGCGGTCAACTTCTGCTTTAGCCATAGTTTTATCAGTTGCCAATTGAGTTTTATTAAGTATCGTTTTCGATTAGATACTGATATTTTCTGTCATTAAATCCTATTATTTAATGTACAAAGATATATACTAAAAGGTACATGATCTAAAATCTTTTACACGTAAAAATTACGAACGTTTGTGTTTCAGAGTTAGCACTAGAACTACCAAACCACAAAAGTAACAAGTTTCATGTATTTTATTTTCATATCTACAAAAAGATACAGCTACTTCTGATGAAATTAATATTTACTCTGATACAAACAGATTGTGTATTCCTATTTGTTCGTGCTACGTCACAATTTCATATTATAGGTTGCTAGTTCTGGTATTAAGTTAACATTGCTCACTGTGTTATTGTAAGGTATCTGGCAACTGATGGTGAATCGTGTAGAAGGTAATTCTACATTTAAAAATACGCCGAAGAGAAGATATATTTAATATTTTCTAAAGCTTCGTGTTTTAGAAAATGGAGATTAAAAATTCACAAAATTCGCTTCCTCGTATTAAAATCTTAATGCTACGAATTTCACCACAAATTGTTACTACACCTATTCGTGAACGTTCGTTCCTCGCAAAAGCTGCGATCGTTTGTGTTCCAGGGTTAACATCGAACGTTTCGTCGTGCACTTCAGAGTCATCGAGTCGATACTTCTTCCTCGATATCTCTCCTTACCGTTATCGGACACGATCGACGTCTTTGAACAGCTTGTATCGCGAAAAATCAAATATGTTGGAAATGTCGAGCAGGTTCGAAAATAGTACAAAAAGGAATGGCAACGATGAAAGATAATGGAGGCGAGTAGACGATAGCCAGGTATTAAACGTCAACGCATAAGGTACTAAGACCTTACCAAGACCTTTTCACATAAACGCAAATGAGACAAGTTCGCGAAACTCTCCTTCCCATGACATTAACCTCGATCAATGGCAAGACAATCCACCTCTGTATTAAGATGACACCTACGCCCGGACGAACAGTTCAGACTCAGTTAACCAGAACGGAGTTAATTAGAAAAACACGAAGAGCACGAGACGTGTCTCGTTGTAACGATCGCTATGAGTCTACAGTGGGTCTCATCGCCGATTATATCAACCAGTAAGATTAATTTCATTGAGGCCAGCGACCAAAGTCATTTACTATTCGAATCTTCGAGCCGGATGCTGGTTTCGTCTTTACCTCTTTGGCTACCCTGAGTTTCACCTGCGTCAAGTCCGTTGTTGCCTGTTGAGCCACCTGACTCACCCCTGCCACCAACCTCCAATCGGGCCTCCAGCCAAGAAACCTTTTAAAGAACCGACTTGCGTATATAGCTTTTTGCTCTCAACCGGGATGATCAGTTCAGTGCATGGATGAAACCTTTAACGCATATTCATTCGATCCTCTATTTGCCGCAATTGAATCACGCGCGTTCCAGTACTCGGAGTCGTCAATTGACGATTCCACCGGCTACACGTGATTGCAGAAAATGTGCGACTCGTACATGTCCCAGTTTAGAGTACGCACATCAGTCACGGTGTTAGTATAGACGGTAACGCTTGTCCAGTGACGCACACCCATTGCATCTCCATTGATCGTGCACGCCACGTGCATCTTGGACAATCCCGCGTCAGCTTCCAACCGAAAGGAAGAAAGAAGGAAAGAACAGCCTAGCTTCCACGCGATAAGCAGTGGTAGCCGCAAGACCCACCTCACCATCCATGCTCAGCCTGGCCACCCACTGCGAAGGACAATGGTAAGGCACCGGAGTAAAGGTTAGCCAGTCGTTATCAATCCGGCTGACGGAATAATACGAAGCAATCTGCTCCGTGTTCCATTCACCTCACTGGTTAAGGACGTCCTGCATCGGGAGGTGATTTATAAAACCCTGGAAAATCGTGTGCGACAACGGAGGAAGACTTCCTCGTTAGGGCTAACGTATCCTGACCACTCGCGTGGAGCAATCTCGTTCGTTTTTAACAGAATCGAAGTATTGGCACTGTTAAAATTGAATTTAATGGAATGCAAGATTACTATGTGACTATGGATTACAATCTTAGATGTTTCTATAACGAGCAATGATAAGGTACAGGTTGTTAGATGACACCTGACGTGAAATACTCCTTGACGTAGGACCATTTGAATTAATATTCCAGTTATTTAATATTCTCTCTTAATGAAAATTTTTTGCTGCTAATTTTGTAGAATTAGTCTCTGTTAATATATCCGCGACCATTTGCTTTGTTTTATATACGTAATCATGGGTTTTCCGCTTGCCATTCTATTTGATGTCAATGTGTTGGCTTCCTTGATAGTATACTCTGCCAATTTTGTCGCACTTTGGTTGAAAAGATATTCATTCTCAAGCTCTCGTCCTTTGCGTGAAGCTCCTTTTCCAATTGCTTCAGCAATGTTCTTTCCTGAATAGCTAAAGCGAGGATCACGCACTCGGTCTCGATAATTGATAGAGCAACAGACTGCTCCTTTTTGTACTTACACGTCCGCTCCCTGGAAAATAAATACATTAGCAGAATACGATTTTAGATCTCGGTCTGAGCTCCAATCCGCGTCATTGTAGCCTTCAATCTACCCGTCGAAATTCTCTTACATGTTAGTTTGTAACTTATTGTCTCCTTTAAGTATTATAGTTGCGTTTTATTGCAGTCCAGTGTTGATGTTTGGGTTTGTTATTACAACCAGCTGAATTTACTATGAACGCAATGTCCAGTCTGCTTCCTTGAACCAGATATAAAAGGCTCCCTAATGCCTCTTGATAGAGTTGATTTCTTATTCTCGTCTTCTGAGATCAGTTGTTTATTCGGGTCGCAAGGTGTTCTTGCAGTTCACACGCGTTTTTCACACGTTCTCTGACAACAGAGGCAGAGATCTCTTGTGCTAGTGACAAGCTTCTTAACAGCGAAGAAATTCAGGTGGTCTAATCCGCGATGCTACATGAAAGAATGCGTTTGTTGCTGAGAGCAATGC